CCCCTTTTTCTGTATTTGTATGAAAAAAAGAACACAGGACGTAGAATTAAGCTGTTTTGAGAGTTTTCTGTTTCTTCTTAGACTACCTTGTTTAATAACCAAGTATGCTATCAGTAACAACTTAGCATTCTTTGGAAGTGATTACTGCTGGGGTTGTTTTTTAAGATTCTGTTTACAGTTTTTATTCCAAGTAAGGAGGGCTCGAGAGATGGTGAGAAGATAACATTGAGGGAGGTTATGCTTGTACTGAGAACCTGAATAGCTTCTGTTTGCAGTGTGCTCCTCTGGCAGAGGAACAAAGTCAGTGTCCAAGGTGACATTTCCATCACCTTTCCAGTCATTCCCTTCTTGAGTCATTCTGGTTTCTTATTGTAACAGATATCTTATTTTTAAAGATATGATTATTATTTGAGCATGAATGGTGTTTATATTCCCTTTCTTTTCTTGTTATTTCATTTTTCTGCTTCCTAAAAAGTATTTAGAGAAAATGGAAGTGCACTCTAGTTTTATATACTGTTTATTTGATTACAGGAAGGAATTAAAAGAAGGGGTTATCTTGCTGTTATGTTTTAATTGTTTGTACCAAGTCCAAAGCAGTTGTTGCAGCCTTCTTTTTCCTATTATTGCATTCCTTCCAAAATGACCTCCTCTCACTTCACTTTGGTGTTTGCCGTTTAAGCCATGCAATCTCATTTAGATAAAATGTAATTTTAAAACATATTAACTCTAAAATGTTACATTCATGTTGATAAATTACTCTATTTTCCCCAAAAATGAAAAAGTTTCATTAAACAGCTGATCTGTTCAATGTCTACATCAATTATCTTAGATCACTTTCCCTTAATAGTTGTCAAAAAGTCTTAAGCTTTATAAAGGCTTTTTCCAGCAAATTAAAAGTAGCTGTGCAATATTTAAATAGTCTCGTCATATAGTGTTTTCTTACTAAAATAATGAAGGTTGTCAACCAGAAGTTATTGCTATTTTCCTTTGCCAGGTTGAGCATTCATACTGTGCCAGATTCCCTCAGTTTTTAAGATACTTTTCACTCTTTTTTTTGGGGGCGGGGGGGGTTTAGAATTATTGGGCTGGGTATGGTTACTATCGCAAATATTGGGAGTATTTTCTTTAGATGTCTGATTAAATGCAGTGAAGCAGGAAATACAATAATTTAGACTCATTGCTACTAAATTTCGTAGAATCATAAAGTCTCCCCTTCCCCAGGCTGAAAAAGGCCAGTTCTCTCGGGCTCTCCTGGTATGTCGTGTGCTTCTTGGTATGTCTGTCTTCTTTAGTAGCTTGGTGGCCCTCTGCTAGACTTGCTCTTCAAGACATTTCTTAGAAATTCATGAAAGCAATTTTGTGAAGTAGTTCTTTAGTCTGGGATATGTTTATCCTTACAATTTTGCTAGGAGAAACAATAAAATACTTAAACAGTATCTTAAGTGCATTCAGATTATTTTATGCAACTCTTCGGATGATGACGGTTAATTTGCATTCATTAGGTTTATTTAAAATCAGATCATTAAGTAGTATTGGAAGTATTTTTTGTCTCCTCTACCCTGCTGACACATTTTCAGTGAAGAATGGTTGTGGTGTGATTGGTGGGGTACTCTGACAGCAGCTTTAATGATTGTCAGTATGAAATGAAGAGTTTTCTTCCATCTTTCTCAAAATAATTTACCCTTTTTAAGATACAATAGGTTCTGTTAATTTAAGCCTCCAGAAATGTTGTGTCTGGGATTTTTGTTTTGTTTTGGTATGAGATATGTTCTTGCTTTGTAACTAATTCAGTTATGTGCTGAAATTAAAAATTTACAAAATTATTAATTTAAGGCAAAGACTAAGCATGAGAATTAAAACCTAAAGTTAATTCAGGGAAGAATCTGCACAAAATTATTTTGTGTGATTTATGAAGAAATATCTTCTCAATCTGAACTGCACTGTACAGTACTTAATTTTAAAGCACATAGTAGTTAAAAAAAAAATTAAAAAGCAAAAATCACCCAGTAGAGTAATTTATTCACATTGTGTCATATATTGAGGGCCTACCTACAGATAATTTTTAGAGATAAGTCCTAACCTTACTAAAAAAAGCCCAACAGTATGACCTTAGATAACTTTCAGATTTTTTTCTTGTTTTTAAAATGTACTAATTTGTATCTTAACTCATGAGCATAAATATAATTGTATCAAAGAACATGCATATGTTTTTCAGTTCAGTTATATTTACAAAACATATAGATGTATTACAACACCAGGTGATAAATGATTGTCATAGACAACTGGACATCTGGTGTTAATGCCATTGTCTCAGTTTATAAAATACTGATCAGTTATTTTACAGGTAAATGACAAGGAAAGGAAAAAAGTGCCATCTTCATAAAAATTAGGAAACACATACAATACAGTAATTTGCAGGGATTTTTGTAACTTAAAGATAGTGACTGTTATAAGTAAAAACTGGAAAAAATGGTGGTTTTTGTACATGGTATTTCCCAAGAATAAATGCAAAGTACTTAAATGCTATTTGTCCTCTGTTAAATAAAGTAATACAGGCTATTGGAAAAAATCCCTGAATAAGTGTAAGAAGTTGTTTAGGAGACTATGGGGGGGAAGAATGTATTCTTCAACTACAGTATTGAGCTAATTACAGGACAGTAATTTTTTATGTACATAAAAGGCCAACATGACACAGAGATAAATAGTTCTAGATCTAGTTAAGTGTTTTATATTAGAGTATGTTTTAAAGTTCAGTGATGAGGCAAAATGCATATTTCTAAAACTATTTTAGGTATTTTCACAGTTCCAGTTATTTACTAACACATACATAACATAAATGGTCAGTAAAACAGAGTCCTTAAGTTGCCTGACAGTTTCTTTGACGTTCTTTTTATTCAGTTGTTTGGCCAAATCACTGTTATATCAGGTTGATGCTTTAGACTTTGTATCTGGTTGAATAATACGAGCTCTTTATCTGATCAAGGCTATTGCAATTCAGGAATTGCACTGAATTGATCCCTTCAGAACACTAGCACGTGTTCTAGGCTTGAAAATGAGACAAGTTGCAGATGTGTGTTTATATTCTTGGCAAATGAAGTCTTTGAAGACTATACAATACATAATTCACATAATGCAAAAACGTTTAGAAATCTGCTGGTCGAATCATCATAGTCGTGGCTTTGAGAGAGTATCCTGAGCCTTTCCAGTAGTACCACTTGATACCGTTGAACTTGTTGTTGTTCTGTCGTAATGGATAATACATTCCATTGAGGTTAGAAGGACCACATGCATCAAACCACCATCCTGCAAGACAGAAAACAAAGAAAAACATCAGCAGATGAAAATGTCAGCACATGTAATTTTCACAATAGTATATAACGACGCTTTGTTGTCCTGAAATGAAAAACAAATCTAAAACCAGGTTTTCATTCTTATGATTTGGAAGTGTTGGTATAAAATACATCCCTCAAACTCAGAAAGGAAACATATTCACTACATATTCCTGAAGCTTATGTAATACACAGCAGTTTAAGAAGGGAAGGACTCTGATCAAGCTTAATTTATTATCGATATCAAACATTATTGTTGACAGTCTCAGGGCAGAACTTGACTTGAACAATAATGATATTGAGTCTTTTTTGGTTTTTATCTACTCTTTGGTAAATTCCTGTTCTTCACAGATTTAAATTCTTTTCTTAATTGTTTTTAGAGGATTAATTCATTTATCTGTTTCAGTTCTCTGTGTAGATTAGTTCAAAAACTCTGCTTGGTAAGAAGGAAAAGGAGAAAAAAGCAGCCCAAACTTATTTTGTATCCTTATGGTCCTGACCTGTTAGGGGGTCATAAGGAAAATTTATTTTTATTAATAAGATAATATTTTTATACTCCTGTTATGATGGTGATAATGTGTGTGTTCTGTTTTGCAGGGCAGTAATCCAATTATCCTTTTGGATAAACTGAAGCTGTCTTTTGTCTTGCAACTTCTGCTATAGGGAAACAAACCATTACTTAAGAGAGAACAGGAAGAGAAGTCAAATTTACAAAGCACTTGTTTACATTTCAGAATGTGGAATTCTAGACTGACAAATTATAGAATGGCTTGTGTAGTTCAAGATAAAAATACCACCTAAAACTCCAATTACTAGTGAACAGTCATTAGAAAAATGCAGATATATCATATATGTGGTGTATCTTAAACTTATGTATTGCATTTTCATAATTCTATTGAAATATGGAATTAAATATTTGTACCTTTCTGCAGCATATACAGTATACAGCAGCTTTTGGTGTTCTCTTCTGGATAGTTAGGGTACAGGTTTGTGCCTAAAGAATCAGGAACCATTTCACTGACCAACTGAATCTCCAAAATAAGGGTTTTTTTGGGGGGTTAAGTGTTTTGATCTCTGGGACTATGTTGCATCATTCCTTGGAAGAATCTGCTGTTGCTTTCATTAGTTCCACAATTACAAACTTTCTTGTACCCTAACTTGAGAGATTGGGGTTTTTTCTCCATTTTTACCTTCTCTTGTTTTACTTTAGTTTTTCCAATTATAAAATTGGAAAAATTTCACTTGGAGTCACTGTATTAGCATTTCTATCTGTGAGTTTTGGACTTCTTCAATAGTCAAAATATACTGTCAAATTATCGCTATTTATCTCATAGACAATTTCAGTGCCAATAAAAATAGGAAGACTGAGAAACAAAAAAACATTCCTACCTCCTGTTAGCATTTGTGAACATTTGCAAATACATTTGTCATTGTCTGCATCCTTTGTGCTAAAATCATTTCCTGGTTGGCTTATACTACTTATTTTGCCCGCTGTCCCAGTAAGTCCTTTAAGGTAGATCCTGTAGAAGTGAGGAATGGAAAAACAATTATTACATGGAAGTTAAGAGTAGTTGATCTGCAAAATAATGATGGAATAGTTTGCAATAAATATCCTGTTCAAATAGTTCAGTTCTCTTCTGGCCAATGTACTGTTGTAAGCTGTTTTGCAGCATAATGTTTTCATATGAGCAGAACTGGTCAGCACAACATTCTAATGAACAGCCTCCACTTTTGTAGAGATGACTGTTTTGTTCATGTCATATTAGAAGAAAATGAGAACAGGTAGATAATAACTCCTGGAATTTTTTATATATATCATGCATTTCTTAATACTGTAAGTACGTTGTATGCAATTTTTTTTTTTTAATTGAGTTCAAAAGTTTAAACCAAAACTTTTTTGATTCCTACTTTGCTGTTAGAACAACATGGCAACGTAGCATTACAGCTTTGCAACTATGAGAGATTATAGCATTACCTGGACTACTAATTACTAACTAGTAACTGATATTTTAGGAGTTTAACAGTATTTCCTTCTCTACTTTCCTAATTACTCTGTGTTTTCACATCCATCATAGATTTGTTAGTGTTAAATCATAGAATCATTTAGGTTGGAAAAGACCTTTAAGATCAAGTCTAATCATAAACATAACACTGCCAAGTCCACCACTAAACCATGTCCCTAAGCACCACATCTACACATCTCTTAAAAACCTCCAGGGATGGTGACTCAACCACTTCCTGGGCAGCCTGTTCTAATGCCTGACAACCCTTTTGGTGAAGAAATTTTTCCTAATATCCAACCCAAACCTGCTCTGGCACAACTTGAGGCCATTTCCTCTTGTTCCATTGCCTGATCCTTGGGAGAAGAGACCAAAACTCACTTCGCTACAACTGCCTTTCAGGTAGTTGTTGAGAGCAATAAGGTCTCTCCTCAGCCTCCTTTTCTCCTGGCTACACAACCCCAGTTCCCTCAGCTGCTCCTCATAAGACCTCCAGACCCTTCACCAGCTTTGTTGCCCTTCTCTGGACACGCTCCAGCACCTCCATGTCATTCTTGTAGTGAGGGGCCCAAAACTGAACATCGTATTCGATGTGGGGCCTCACCAGTGCCAAGTACAGGGAGACAACCACTTCCCTACTCCTCCTGGCCACACTTTCTAATACAAGCCAGGATACCATTGGCCTTCTTGGCCACCTGTGCACACTGCTGGCTCATGTTCAGCCGGCTCTTGACCAACCAACACCCCCAGGTCCTTTTCTGCCAGGCAGCTTTCCAGCCACTCTGCCCCAAGCCTGTAGCATTGCATGGGGTTTTTGTGACCCACGTGCAGGTCCCAGCACTTGGCCTTATCGAACCTCATACAGTTGGCCTCGGCCCATTGAACCAGCCTGTACAGATCCCTCTGTAGAGATTTCCTACCCTCAAGAAGATCAACACTCTCACCCAGCTTGGTGTCATCTGCAAACTTACTGAGGGTGCACTCAATTCCCTGGTCCAGATAAGAAACAAAACAGGTACTTAAGTTTGCCTCAATTCCCTGGCAAGTCAAGATTTCAGTGAGGCTGCTACTGTTTGGATCTGCTTACATAGGTGCAGATGCAGTCTTAGTCAAGAGAGACACAGGGCACTGAACCATGGAGGTGATGACACAGCTATTACTGTGTTGCATTGGACTGGAAGGATTTGAACCCTCTGCTCCCACAGTATCTCTTTGTTCATACATTTCTGTATCATGCAGGTCATCCTTCTCAGAGGTATTCTATTTGTTTAAAGAGGAGATCTGACTCTGAGGAGACCTAACTTGTCCCCAGATCAGTCTTCATCTTGCATGTAGTTCCCTGCTTATGACAGAATTTGTCTTCGGTAGTTGAACAGATTATTTTATATTCCCTATTTGAAAATACTAAGAATGAATTAATTTTTATTAATTTAGGTCTCAAAAGATCAGCTCATTACAGATTTTCTCAAAAATTTGTTTCAAAAAGCTTTTTTCAGGTGAGTTCAAAATTCTCTAAGCCAATTTCTAACTTAAATGGTATTAAAGGTTCCAAGTATAATGTATGAGCCTAGGCTTGATTTTCAAATCTCATTTGAAGTTTAGTGTAAGCAGAGTATTATTCATTTATTATTATTATTATTCAATTTTTAAAAGTATTGCTTAGTATAACAGAAGATGAGGGGCAGTGGATGTAAATTTAAATGAGAGGTTCTGACTGGGTATCAGTTAAGTATTTCACCATGAGGACAGAAAAGCAATTGTGCAGTCTCCACCTTTGGAGGTTATTAAGACCCAACTGGATAAAGCCCTGAGCAACCTGGCCTGACCTCATAGCTTTGAGATTAGGAAGTTTGACTCAAATTAAATCCATTCTGATCTCACTTTTTCTATGAATCTGTGCAATTTCAGTTTTATGACCCAACTCATAATCTTTCCAATATTCAGAATGTATTTATGTTTTTAATGTAATGAAGGTTGCTCTCAGTTGAATACTTCCGTAGATTTTTTTCTTTTTCATAATGTTAAATATATTATTTAATCCACTGCATTCTATGATGCATTCCATGTTTGGTTGCATTTTAAAATAAAATGTATATTTACAGACAACCATCTTAGTTTTCAGTAATTACTTTTAATATTGTAAGTGGACAAGGGTAATAACCCATTTTGCAAAGGTTGCATTTATGAGTATTTTAAAGCATTAATTTAAAAAAATCTCTGATGTAGATTCTGACTGTTTCCAGTTGAAAAAATATTTGCTTTGGAGTTGAGACAACTGTATACTACTAAGGCATTAAGATCTAATGTTTTAAGGAAGGGAGACGCTGATAGTTTTGGATTGCTTTGCATATAAGACTTGAGTTGAAGTAACAGCATCAGTTCTCTCGAGAGTCAGACTGACTTTGTTCACAACAAATAGTTGCTAGTAATCTTGGAGAAATTAATCTAAATTTAGCTAATTTTTCTCTCCAGTCACCTAAAGCTCCATGAATCTGTAAGATTTTTATAAACATTTCCTGAACCATGTAGTAGGAAAGCATCTATTCTACTGTAGAGTCTCTAGTTTCTTTTGTAACCAGTCAAACAATATCTACTGCATTTACAGAGAGCCTGGAGAATGAAATATGAACTACCCATATATTTCAGCTATGGCTAATACTGTTTCAAAATGTATAACACTATGATACTATTTAAAATATATAATACCATTATAATATTTATTTACATATAAAGTATTTATTTTAAATGTATCTTATTTCCTATTCTAACCAAATATGTAAGAAGAAATTGTGAAGCTTTACATTTTACAGAAGAATGGGAGCATAAGTAATAGGTCCATTAAACTGACAAGTTTTTAGGGCATGAGACTGGACATTTGCTAGTAGCTTCATTTTTACAGATAGGAGTGTTATTCATTGAGAATCCAAGCCAGTGGGTCACAGAAGGAGAAGGTAGTATTTCCTCAGTGTACTCTTGATGACAACAGAACAGCTCCTACTAGCCACTGACTTAAGTGGAAAATCTCCTTGCAGTACTGTTCATCTTAGTCATCCACCTTCCAGAAATTTATTTATTGCCTGGAATCAGGATTTAATAGTCAAGTTCCTATTGAGCTGAATATTGTGCACTGCCATCCACTATATTGGCAAGCGCATACCATACCACACCATACCACCTCTTCATCTTTGAGCACCTTGTGTGTTACACTCACCCAGTGTGCACTAGTAAAATATACATTGTTTCTGTTGGGGAAAAAATTAAGACTGTTTTTAGCAATAGGTGAAAAATGAATCAAACATTATTTTCTGAGTGAATTGAAAAAACATCATCATTTCTATGAAATAAGGTCACTCATCTACACAGTTTAGAATGATTATTATCAGAATTTTTTTTAATTCAGATCTGATTTTTCTGCTTACCTGTATTTTAGTTCCTCACTTGCTAGAGAGAAGTGGTCATACAATGAATACGCTTCATTTCCTTCCCAGTCTTTCAGGTGTATTTTAAGAACATAACGTTTCTGATTAGTCAGTTGAGAAACAAACTCATTTCCCAGCCAGTACTCCCCAGCAGGATCACCAAATCCCTGTAATTCAAGTTGTAGATTTAAATAGCTTTGTTTTATTTTTCCTTTGAGTTTGAAATTACCACTTTATCAGTTTTTACATTTAATAGTTTTCAGTCTGTCAGCTAAGAATGTTACTGTGTCTGTGAGGGTTATAGATCTGTAATATTTCAAAAAGTTAATTTCAGCAAAGACAAAGTCGGGAGTCTGAAATAGTGAATCAATATTACTTAGTAGATTTGGAGCAGTTTCAACCGTTGCCACTAGAAACACAAATATAAATAACTCAAAAAATGTGGACATATCATAGAAGAGTTGATTAAAGAAAAGTGAAGTTTCTCTTTATAAACAAACATCACACTTGCAAGTCTGCTTAGGCAAACAACTTACACTACTCTGACATTTCCTATATTAACATCTAAGGACAAAGACAACTTCTAAAATCTGCTTATATTCTAAGGATGCTATTAATATAACTTTATTATATCAGTAGTAACTAATATTAAGGCTTCAGAAAACATTGTTTACCATCTTGTACTCTTTCCATGTCCGGTGAAAGTCCACGCTGCCATCTTCACGTCTCTGAATAATGGTCCAACCTCCTCCACCAGTTTCCATGTCACAGTAGGCCTACCAGAGCAAGCGTGTAACAGTGTAAGTGCATGCAGTCATGGGAAAACAAAAATACAAAGCATGTCCTTTGCATAATTCTGCATAGTGGCATGTTTTAAAATATACAAGTACAAAATGTGTATTAACCTAAAAATGCTGGTTTTCATAGCTTTCATACAAATCAGTTGTGGCTGTCCACAAATAAATGTGATTCCTCAGTATATATCACACTTAACAGAATAAAAATGACACCTTAGAAATAGCTGATAGCTGGTGTTAAAGGAAGAAAAAAATGAACAAGCTTCTGATTCTGTATTTCCCTCTTGCACTGATATTTCTACAAGTCTCCTGATAAAATATTTCTCCTGAAAGATGTTTTCACTTCTCCAGTTTTTTGTGAGAGATCCGTTAAAATTTCCCATGGTTTGTCAAGAGTTAAATTCAGGCAGTGAGCAGTCTGAACTATGTTTTTATTTCCACTGTTATTGTCCAGTACTTTTGCAGACGGTCTGACCCCCAGATGAAATCTAGGTGTAGAACTGTTATTATCTGAAAGTTAAGTCTTGAAGCCATGTTGCTATATATGCAATCTGCAATGAATATCTTACATTCTAGAATAAAAAAGTAATTACTATAATATTTTCCAAATATTCATAAATCATCTTTGATTTTACCACGTTATTGGTAAACATTTGAAAGGATTGACACATAATAGGCCGTTCACTGAACTCAGTTTTAGAATACCCAATAAATGCATCCTGGTCCAGTAAAATTCAAGTTTATAGGTGCCTTGTTCAGTCAATCTCCTTCTAGCGTAAAATAGAAAGTGACTGAGTTAAATAGAATTCTGGTGTATGTTCACTGCACTGCAGAGACAAAAGGTATTACTTGGAGTGCCATTAAACTGGAGAGATGCTGATAGCAAAAATATTTTGAAAATTTAGAGGGAATTTTGGAGTGATGTTTGGGAGACATAGGGGATAAATTAACAAGACAATCTTGTGAATACGTGAATATTTAAGACAATTTTTCTTGAGAAGGGATTTAAAATTGTTGCATCTAAGCTAAGCTGGTGTAAAACAGTATAATGAAAGTCAAAATGAAATCAGTATCTATTTAAATGGAACGTTAGTACCGACACTAAGTTTAAGAGAAATCTTTATTTTCTTGTACAAATATTCCTGTTTGGAGAGTTCACAGTTTATGCTCTAGGCTCTCTCATTTGGAAGTTGTTTTGGTTTGGTTTTTATTTACCACTTTCTGCCACTGAAGTTCTGAGTCTTCTTCAGAATTATTTCACATCTTTGTGAAGTTATAGTTTGAGTATTAAAATGCATTCACTGTATTCTAGATCTTTCATCAGTTAAGTGAAGTTACAGCTTCCCATTTACAGTAGTGGAGCCAAGATTTGGCTTCTTACACTTTGATAGGATATTTCATCTGTACAGATTAATTAAAAATAAAATAAAATCAAAAAATCCCAAAATAAACCTCCTAGACCTGAGCATTTCATTATGAAATTGGATGTTTCATTCTTTGTTTAAAAAAAATCTCTTAGTGATGTTCCTTCTTACGTAACTTATTACTTACTGCTGCTTGTCACAATGTGCCTATAAATGCCCTGAATCATGACTGAAAGCCACTGATGTCTTTTTCATCCTCTTGTATGGGAGATTGTCTTATCAGTGTTAGCAGTTAGCAGATTCAAGTTATTTGAACTATTAGATATCCTCAAAATTAATTGGAGAAGTATGACTTCAGAGAAGGCAGCATTTCCTTCTGTCCTGTGGCAGTGTTTTGTATCATTTTAGGAAGTAAAGTGTGCTCTGTACTAAGCTTTCAATATAGTTGGCTCTTTTAGGGTATGCATGTATTTCTTTGTATGTGTATTGGACAGATGTTACAGACACATACACACACACATATATTTATAAAAATCAAGAAGTGTAAATATCTTTCTTGGGTGGAGGCAAAGGGAATGGCAAATATCTTCCTTGGCACAGGCAAAGGGAATGTACTGGTTACATTGTCTCCTCCTAGTGTCAGAGTAACTGTTTTAAAAGGTGAGAAGATTGTTGTTAAATATTTGAGATTCCAGTGTATGGTTTCTAACTGCTGTACTTTGTGCCTGTGCACTTGCTCCCTTGAACTAGCTATAAAGTCAAAATTCATTTTATCACCTATTAAGTAAGCATCATACAGTGAAGTATTTTACTTTCAGGCTTGATGGCAATCCAGAACCCTACCTTTCAAGCCCTCACATATGTAGCTTTGCTCATGGAATCATTCCTTTGCTTTCCAGATCATTTCCCTAGAAAGCAATTCTGTGACTAAACAAGATGAAAATACTTAACTGTAAAACTAGGAACTTCAAATTTACATATACACTTAATTTTTAATTTGGGAAAATATAAAGTCAATGAAGAAAAATGTCAGTAAAGATTACAGAAAGAAAATTAATGAAATAATTTTCTCTCTTACTTTTTACTAAAAATACTTAAGTGAATGATGTATATTCATAAGTAATTTTAAGGATGGAGATAGGCTGTTCAGTAAAATGAAGATTAAGGAAAGGATTTGCTTAGTTTAAAATAAACACAATCAATTGCTGGGTCAGTCTGCAGAGAGAACGATTTCTTCATGATATATGTGAAAGATGAGGGGAAAGGAAGAATTTATTTGGACTATAACTTCTTTAAAAAAAAAAATCTTCATTCTCCAGTAAAGTGATACACATAGGAGGCTTTCTGTAGCACTCTTTACTAGAACAGAACTCTTCTGACCTTTCAGCCTAGCCTAGGTTTTATATTCAAAAGGAAGAAATGTAACATTTCATATAACTAGTAAAAATAGATACCAAGATTAGGCAGGCAGCAGGAGTCTTCAAGCAGATGCCAAAAAGAATAAAGAGATTAGCCTCTCAAATTACAACAAATTGGCAGGGGGAATATTTGATTTATCTTGTGAACTGCTTCAGTACTTACAGTTCTAGCAGCTGTAGTACTGTGAGAGCTAAGGGCAGCTGTTTATATTTCGCTTTCAGCTAAAGATCAGCACTGTCTTTTTGATAATGCTGTAGGATACGTCTAACCAGAGTAGTCCCTTTTCCAAAGATTATAAGCTGTCAACAGTCAATTTGATGTCTTCACTGTCTAGGAAATTGATTTTCAGAGCAAGTCTGAAAATCTTCTTTTTTCTTGTACATTAGGATATTTGAAAACATTTATAAGTGTTTTCAGACCTACTGCCTAAAAGGTGAAAGACTCTGGTTGAGTTATCAGGCTGAAGATCTACTACAGTTTTTATACCAAAGCAAGTGCAGTTGCCACATCAGTGGAGTTTCCTTTTGCATCACTTTTGGCTGTTGTCAAAAGGCTTTTGAGTCATGATGCTCAATGATTTTGTATTCTGCTATCTCTAGTTCCTAGAGATGTGACTAGATATGAATTGCAATCTTAGTTTCCTTGTTCTGGAAAAAAATAACTACCCACATGATTTATAATGTAATTTAACATAATACCAGTTACCAATGAAACAAAACAGATTCTGAGACTTCCAAAATTCACAAAAAAACCACCCCTCGTCTAACCTGTTACTGTATCAGAGAAGCTACACATATGCTCTTTTTTAATGCTTGGGGTTGGAAACAATTTGTGTATGTGTATTTTAGACATAAGGTCCACGGCACAGGCTCCTTTTGAAATTAATACCTAGTTGTCTACATGTTCCCTTTCTGGGAAAGTTTGGCAAACCTTTTTTTTTTTTTTTTTTTTTTTGGTAAATTCAAACTTGTCCAAATCAAGTCTTTTTTGTCAAAAAGGCCCTGGCTTGGAGTGCGTGTCAGTTCTGGGATGAAAAGTAAGCTCAGGAGAAGTCGAAATGGGGAAATAGTGGAAATTGTAGCTGCTTCAGCCACTGTTTTAAGAGCTGGGGTAATATGTTGGTAATAGTTGTGGTAATGGTTGAGCTAATACATTAGTGTCATCCAGACTCAACTATTCTGTCTGGTTAAAATCCAGGTTAACTGCTTAAACATGAAGCTACTGACTTTTCATGGGTTTGCCTCTGCCATTTCTCCCTGTGTCAGCAGTCTTTTGCTGTTTTTCCTCAGTGTTTTTGAAAGAACTTAGCTTTTGTCCTGGTGCAGAACAGGAAAGCTTGAAAATATTAACGGAATGAAATAATTGTTTTCCTCTCAGCTCTCATATGCAATTCTTTAGTTTTGGATTATGATGGCAGACAAATCAGTAAAGTGGGATCAGTTACAGATTACACAGAAGTTGTTTATAAGCCTGTTGGGAGGTCAGAAGGTGTTACAAGAGGAAAAGATGAAAACATAAACAGCAGTACAGCACTTTTGGCAAATAAAAAAGGTCATTCTGTTTCCTGGTCAGAGTGGCCATCCACATCATAAACAGCTGAAAATGGTGTAACGTGTTGATTATCCCTAAATGAAATGAACCCTTGATAACTCCTCATATATTTGTACTTGTATAAAAAATCTGCATCAGATTAAAACTTTTTGGTCTCTTCTTTTCCATGTCTTATAGTAAGCAAAATCTTCGCTGTCTTTTTAATTCTCTCTGAAGTGGGCAGACCACGATTAAAATTCTTTAATATTAGTAAATGAAAAAGAGAAGGCTCCGGGGAGATCTTATAGCGGCCTTCCAGGACCTGAAGGGGCTACAAGAAAGCTGGGAAGGGACTTTTCATAAGGGCAATTAATGACAAAACAAGGGGAAATGGGTTTAAACTGAAGGAGGGTAGGTTTAGATTAGATATTAGGAAGAAGCTCTTCACTGTGAGGGTGGTGAGACACTGGAACAGGTTGCCCAGAGAAGTTGTAGATGCCCCCTCCCTGGAAGTGTTTAAGGCCAGGCTGGATGAGGCTTTGAGCAACCTGGTCTAGTAGAAGGTGTCCCTGCTGATGGCAGGGGGGTTGGAACTAGATGATCTTTAAGGTCCCTTCCAACCCAAACCATTCTATGATTCTATGATTTCTGTCTATATTCAAATGTCCCTCCTTAGCATACTGTGTCTGAAATGTTAGAAAAAAACATTCATCATTTAAGCCCCACTCCTTAGAATGCTCTCTACAGTTTTTGGTACTTTACCATCACAATCCACCTTGGACTTTTCTCCCTTTCAGATTTTATTGATTGTTTCAACTGAATTATGCTGTCTGAAGCTTTATCATTTTATTTACTTCAGTAGATGGAGCATCTCTGTCGGCATCCAGTGTTTCATCTACTCAGTGCCATTTTAGTTCTCTTCTATGGAGGTATAGTGTATAGCTTTAACTTAAATTGACACTGAAGTTCATATCAGCTAAATACATAGGGGAAAAAAATACCCATAGTTTAATTTAAACTGATCTAGTGAAACCACTGCAAACTCTCACCTTTTATTTAAATCACAGCAGTATTTTCTAGGAAAGTCCTCTCTGTTCTGCTGATCCAATTGCTAATCTAATTGTTACACAGTGCCCTTAAAACTGTGCATAACAAAGAACTGGAACCCACAGACGAGTCCAGTACTAGTAGATTGCTTACAGGAGTACACATCTATACTTACATTACACTCTTCCATACCCCTGATTTTACCTCCTTTTGCCTCCTGAAGGGACTTGGGCATATGAAGCAACTAAGAACTTAGAGGAGACAGGAGATTGCAGATCATGTAGAGCAACTGTGTTGGAGTTAGAGATTTTACAAACAGATTACAGTATTATATTGCTTTAATTGAGTTAATTATGTGGAAATAAATAATGAAATTCTGGCATGTTGAAGTGAACAACAAAATGCTTGTTCATTTCAACTGAGCCAAGATTTCACCTGAAGGACTTTCTTCTCTTGAGATACTCAGATCTGTAAGTGATTAAGTACTTATAAAAAAACATAGTAAGAAATAAACTTCATTATTTACTAGCCTTTAAAATAGCATATTTACCAGATCAAGTACCTTTTTTACACAGTATGCCTACGTAGCACTTTATAGCCATCCTACCTTCTTTTCTTGTGCAGTGTTAGGAACTGTTAAGGTGTAGATTCCACTTGTTGTCAGTCCAGATTTGAAAGCTTCAGCACAGTCTTTGAAGCTGATTTGCTCCTCCTTAGCTATGAAATTGTTCTTAGCTGCTAAATACAATAGAAATTGAAGGCATTAAGAGGAGATGAATAAAAGTTACTAAGAAGCAAATAATGACATAATCAGCTTAAAGCTGTGCAGTTTCAAAAAGTATGCCTGATCCTGAAAGAAATTGCAGATCAAGGTATTCAGTATATGTTTTGTTACTTTATATTACTTAGAGATGTTATTCTGATATGTGTGGTTGCTTGATAGGTTGAAAAGAGCTGACACATTAATATGTTGAATAAGAAACCTTAGGATATAGCATCTCATTCAGTTGAACAGTTTCTGCTTTCCTTTATTGCATTTGCTGGACTCTTAGATGCATTACAACCTCTGCAGGCACTAACTGCTATTACAAACATATTTAACTAGCAACTTATTGTATTAATAATGACCTTTGGCCACTACTTCTAAATTATTAAATCTAGCATAAGAGTTATTAAATCTTTTATAATACAGCTGACTGGAATAACTACTTTTACAAAAGTTTTAGCTAGTTTTTTTTCCCCTGTGCTGAGCAGGAACAACTTTGTATGTACCAACTGAAGCTTGGTAGCTCAGCCCAACTGACTAAGGGAGCATCCCTTCTGGAATTCATTTGAGTAAAAAATACATTTTAATATGCCTAAGCTTTCTTGCTTTACAGAACAATCTAAGGCTCATCTTTTTCTTCAGTTCTTTATTAACTATGGAGGTTGGAATTTCCTGGCATTTTGCCTGCTGACTGATATTTCATATTTGACCCTTTTGGGGTTGGTTCTGTGTATTTTCCCTTTTAATTTAATCTAACAAGCACAGCCAGTTAGTACAAAGTTTTAGGTGCCATAGAAATATATGCTTATATTACAATTGGTTATTAAGTTCTTTTTGGCTTATTCATTATTTACCTGTTTACATGCTTTGCCTTAAATATAAAAATAACACCATCAGTGTTTTAATTGCTTTTCCACACTCTATTGTTTGTATACCGTCTTAGAAGCTTTCCCTGCTAATTTTGTCTTTTTGGCAAACATTCATTATTTTTTCCACTCTGGGTTTAACAGTGTTGTAGCCAACATGACTTTGACTTGTTTACTCAATTGTGCACTAGCATAGCAGATAACATCGGCAGGAACATGTACAGCCTTGGTAGTGGTATTTAAGGGGATAGTGTCAGTTATTAAGACAGAAAATTTAGCATTTACTTTGTTTAGAAAAACCCACAACTTTATTATTTAGGACACTACTGAAAGCGAGGACTTTCAAACACACTTTTTCTTTTTGAGATCCAGCTTACAGTAATGTATCATGGTCCATCTATGCTGTCTTTTAAGTTGTAGTGACAATTATTTTAAAGTTTTCCTAGTATTTAATTTTAAATCCCTTTATTAGAGGTTCTGTATGCCTGTGTGTTTCCAGCCCTGAGAACTTTACAGGCAAACATGCCAGATTCTTTACTCTTTTATACAGAACATCTGTATCTTCTTAATTTATTAATTTGTTCTGTATCAGACCTTAAATTCAAGGTGAGGAATTTGTTCATTTGTTTAATTCCTGTTTAGCCATAACCTTCAGCTTATGGTTTGTGTGAGTTTTTTATGGAGCATGTGAATCTGTATACATTTGGAAGTTATGCTCAGTCTCTATGATGTGTTGCAGGGCTGTCAGGCATTTAGAGGTGAGGTTATTCCTATAAAATTTGCTGAACTGAAGGATTTTTAGATGAATGGGGAAGCTTCAGTGAAAGACTGGAGGACTTCTGGGAGTACCTGCTGTCCTGGGCTGGGCTGGCGCTTTCTGTTGTCTGGGACATACATAGGTGC